CTCATTATAGTTTCATTGTTAAAAGCCAAAAGCACAAAGTTTGCAAGCTTCAAAGATCTATCTATGGTCTAAAACAATCATTAAGATGATGATACTTTTGTTGTTATAAGACAATAACGACTTATGATTTTAAAATCATTGAAAAAGACCATTGTGTTCATGTTAAAAAAATGAAGATGAGTTTTAAATTTTATCTCTAATATTGATGATATTTTGATAGTTTTAAATTGATAAAGATTTTATCATATTTATCAACGCATAGTTATCCAATTTTGACATGAAAAACATAGGTGAGGCAAATTATATTTTGGGAGTCGGGATCATTAAAAAAACTTTCTAACTTTGTCATAAGAGCATTATATCTAGAAAGTTTTAGAATGCTTACATTTAGGTAATTATAAGTTTGTGGATACTTTCATGTCAAAAGACGATGCTTTAAGTCATAAAATATGTCATAAAACTCCAAAAAAAAAAAAAGAAAGATGTCTAAAATGTCATATTTAAGTGCTCGTTGGAAGCCTTATGCATACAATGATGTGTACACATTCGGATACATACATTGTCATTGGTTGAGTTAATCGATCCTAGTCGAACCACGGTCAAGAGCATTGAAAAGTCGTAAACAAGATCTTGAGATATTTTAAAGGCATTATGGATTAATATATGTGTTATTAAGAGAAAATTTTACATCTAACTAAGTATTCACATGCTAATTAGAGAGAAAACCATGATGAACACAAATCTTTTTTTTTTTTTTTGATATACTCTTTTACTCAATAATGACGATATATCTTGTAGTAGTAAAAAACGAACCGGATAGCATTGTCTACTATACGAGCTGAATTTATAGCACGTTCTACTATTATACAAAAAAAAAAATTCTATTTGAAGAGATTCCTTAAGGATTTGGAAATTAATAGCGATAGCTCGGGAATTGTTATAGTCTATTATGACAACTAGACAACTATTGTTTATATCAAGGATCTCAAGTAACACGAGTAGATCCAAACGTATTGACACCGAGTATAACTACGTTGGAGATGTCATTTGGAAAAGAGAAGTGTCAACGAAATATTTATCTACACATAAAATGATAGTAGATCCTCTCATAAAACTCATACCCAAATATGTGTATTTTGGACACGTTAAATCTTTTGAAATACTTAGATTGTAACTTTAGCATGATAATGAACAATTAAATTTTATATGTTGTACTACTTCTTTTGCGACCGCAATTTGTTGTTTTCATACACACACACACACACACACACATACATATATATCATGCATCTTACTAAGTTAAAGCTCAATTTTGAAAGTCACATTGATTTAGATTGGTTCTCTCACATGAGTAATCGCTTCTAGTGTTGGTGGGAGCGAGTAAAGCCGAGACAAAACTGCTCTAATGATGTTAAGAACGAGTAGAGTAGAGATAAGATTAAAAAATGTCACCTTAATGTAAAATTAAGATAAGATTGTAAACAATTTACATTTTACAATTAATTTGAAAAGCTTTATCCAAATAACTCTGTGATAGTCATATCCGAGATCTTGGTGATAATACTTATTAAGAAAAAACACCTTGAGAACTCAAGTTAGTCGATTTTGTCTAAGGATTGAACTAAGATCCGTACGAGTGAGTATAGGATGTGATAATTGGGAATATTATAACCTCGTGATTTATACCATATGTGCTAATAAGATCGCAAAAAATAGTAAGAGAATGAATCCCTTCTTCTCCACTCGTATGACATCTTTAAAGGAACAATAATATCCTCCGACTAATACTTCTATCATTGTTTACTATTATTCAAGATTTTAACTTGGTGTTTGTTATCTCAACTAGTTATTTACTAGCATATATCCCGCCCGTTGCCGCGAGGTGAGCTATACAACGTTCTTATGTGTTCATTCGTATAAAATACAAAATTTAAAAATAATTATTTAAAATGATCATGAGTAAAAAATTAAAAAAAATAACCAAAACATATATCTCATATTTTATCATGAGGTTAGCTAAACGAAAAGTTTACAAATTTGAGTAATATAAAGTTGCTAATTAGATATTGTTTCATATAAACATGTATTTTATTAGAAATATGTATAATAACTTGTAACTAAAATAATGATGTGGTATTTTTTTTGAGTTTTAGATGATTAATTTTTACCATATATTCTTTATCTATAATTTTTTAATGAGATAGAAAGACCATCCAAAACAAAAGGACAAAAAAAAACTTATTCAAATTGAGAATTTGGAAAAAAAAAAAAGATAAAATTACTCACAATAAAATTAAATGATCAAAACAAAAAAGATCATAAAAGAAGGATAAAAATAAATAAAAAAAATTTCACTAAAAGCACAAAAAAAAAAAATTATAAACAATAAGACTAAAAAAAATTCATTATGCATAAGGCAAGAATAAAAGTAAAACATGATAGAATTTTAACAAAAAAAAAAATTACAAAATAAGAACTAAAACGGAAGATTTTTTTACTAAATGCAAAAAAATATAAAAATAAAATAAAAAATAAAAATTAGAATAGTAAAGTCTGTATTTAATTTTAGTGTAAAAAGAATAATAATCGGATATAATAAAACTTCAATGATCAAAATAAAAGAAATTTCACAAAATAAAAACCAAAACATAACAAAAAGTTTTACTAAAATTAAAAAATAGTTCCTTATAGGGAAAAAATCAAATATAATAAAAATTTAATGGTTAAAATGAAAAGCAATTACAAAACAGGAACTAAAAAAAAACAAATTCTACTAAATTTAATGGCTAAAAAAGAATCATAAAATAGGGCTTATAATAGAAAGAAAAGTTTCACTAAAAGCCCACAAAAAAAAAAAAAAAAAGCTTAGGATAGTGAAACTTTATTTAGTTTTAGTATCGTAAGGATAAAAATCGGATATGATAAAACTTTAATGATCAAAATAAAAACATATCATAAAATACGAACCAAAAAAGAACATAAATTTTTACTAAAAGCCAAGATAAAATATTTATTATAGGAACAAAAATAAAATATAATAAAATTTTAATATTTATTATTGGGAAAAAAATCCAATAGAATAAAATTTTAACGACCAAAATAAAAAAAAAAGGTTACAAAACAGGAACTGAAACAAAAATAAAGTTCACGGAAAGCCAACCCCATGGCCTTGGCTACAGCAAACGCAATTGAAAAAAACAAAACAAAATAAGGCACTAGCTAGTGGTTATAGCAAGTGGGCGAAAAAAAAACATTGTTACAGTTAATCCACAACATTTTCTTTTAGTTTTATGGATAATGATCATGTATGTTTCGATTTATAGAACTGACATATAAAAATAGCCAAGTTCTAAATTAAGAATTTTGAGTAAGAAAAAAAAAATCTTTTGCAAATAGGAAAAAAGAGAGAGAAGGTTGTGATGACACATTAATCGTAGAATTTAGATAGTAATCTAATATTATTTTCTTGATCTAGTGAAATTATTTACAAGTATTATTTCGACCTTAGATTTGTTTATTTATGTATGTGATTTTATTACACTATTAAAGACTATTTTTCTTCTTTTTTTTTTCTTTCTTATTTCATATTTCGAAATCTTCAATGAATAAATTATTGGTTTTTGGATCATGATATTTTTTTTAACCGTCTCATAGACATTTTCTATGTTTGAATAGTTTGTATTTACGATATTTAATTCAAGCTTAAAGCAAAAGGACAAGAAAATCCCTTGATTCTTTAATTTTCTAATAAAGAGGTGAGCATATGGAATTTTGGAATCTTTTTTTTTTTTTTTTTAATAATATTAAGACAGTTAGAGAGCATCACAAATGAATCTCATAACAGCCATTGAATCTTAGATTTTGCCATATCATCCCAGAACGTCATCGTATAACCATGTCTGAATTCTGAAGAATCTCAAGTCCTTTTTGGACAAAACCTCTGCTAGTGGTTTACAGTTGGAAAACAAAAACAGAAACAAAAATCAAATCAAATCAATGTCCTAATAACTCCAGCCAATCAAACGGTCCAAAAATCACATGTACCTTCCTTCTTGTCCAAAAATCCATCGAAATCCAATTTATTAAATTTCTTTAAAGTACTTCCATTTTCCGAGAAAATGCCGTAATTTTCTCATCAACCGAGAATTTTTCATTAAAAAACTCCACCAAATTAAGAGTAATTTATAAATTAGTCCCTATAGGTTTTCAAATCAAATTAAATAATTTATCTAGTTTTAAAAATTAATTCATTAGTCCCTATATTCCTAAATCTATATAATCTTTTCGTTCCTTTTCAGTTTACTTTATTTTTTATTTTAAAAAATTAAAAAATAAAAAAAAATAGAAGATTGGTGAGAAAAAAGATATTTATAAAATAAAATAATATTAAATTAATTATAATTATTCAAAACAAAAGAGGTTATTTAATTTATTTTTTAAAACTAGAGGGAGTAATTTATAATTTACTACTCCCAAATTAATTAAAAACTATTGCATTGCCTTCGTTTGTTTTGCTTTCACTTTCAAAAAGAGAAAAAGAGATCAGACATTAACATCGTCAACCAACACAAGGCCCTTCCCTCTCTTTTAGATCTCTCTCTCTCTCTCTCCATCACATTTCATTTCATGTCTGCAGCTAACATCATTACATGAATCTCTCTCAAAATGAGGTAAATTATCAATGAATGTTTATCATTCTTTGATTTACTCAATAACCCAGTTTTGTTATTTGTTTTATTTGCCAAGATCTGACCTTTCACCAAAAATGTACCTTAAAGTTTCAAACTTTTCACCCATGAATAATAACCCTCAAAGCTTTAGAAATGGATCTACTCACCTTCTCTCAGAACCCTTTGAATCCATGACCAAAATCTAGCAGAAATATTAGCCTTTCTTTGTAAATCTACTTATTTACCAAACATTCCCTTCAATGGCCATGCTTTGGTAGGCAGCTTGTTAGATTTTGTGTTGTGTGGCTTAAAGTTCGAGTCTTTTTCATAATGTTGAGGCAAATCTTGAGTAAGCTCCCAAGAAAATCTTTAAAAACTGACTCAGCTGAGTCTATTCGGCCTGAGTCACCCTTAACTCAGCAGAGATCCAATGGCTCAGCTGCAGGTTTGGGTAAATCATCCAGTGGTCCGAAAAGAACTTCTTCTGTTGTGTTTCCAGCTAGTGTGGTTGCTGGGATTGAGCCACTCGTGCCTTTCAAAGATGTGCCTAATGCAGAGAAGATGAATCTCTTTGTGAGCAAAGTAAGCCTTTGCTGCGTAACTTTTGATTTCAGTGACCCAAGTAAGAATACACTTGAAAAGGATGTAAAGAGACAAACTTTACTTGAACTTGTTGAATTTGTTGCTTCTGGGTCTATGAGATTCAGTGAACCTGCCATTTTAGCAATGTGTAGAATGTGTGCTGTTAATTTGTTTAGAGTGTTTCCGCCAAATTATAGGTCAAATTCGAGTAGCGTTGCCGAGAATGATGATAATGATGACCCCATGTTCGATCCTGCGTGGCCACATTTGCAAATTGTGTATGATTTGTTGCTTAGATTCATCAATTCTTCTTGCTTAGATGCTAAAGTTGCAAAGAAGTACATAGACCATTCGTTTATATTGAGACTGCTTGATTTGTTTGGTACGGAGGATCCGAGAGAAAGGGATTGCTTGAAGACTATATTGCATAGGGTTTATGGGAAGTTTATGGTGCACAGGCCATTTATTCGAAAGTCTCTAAGCAATATATTCTATCGGTTTGTGTTTGAGACCGAGAAACATAATGGGATTGCAGAGTTGTTGGAGATTTTTGGGAGTATAATTAGTGGGTTTGCCTTGCCTTTGAAAGAGGAGCACAAGATTTTCTTGTGGAGGGTTTTGATTCCTCTGCATAAGCCGAAGTCTGTGGGAGTTTACTTTCAGCAGTTGTCTTACTGTGTGATACAATTTATTGAGAAGGAGCCCAGGTTGGCGAGTATGGTAATAAAGGGGATACTGAAATACTGGCCAATAACTAATAGCCAGAAGGAGGTAATGTTTCTGGGTGAGTTGGAAGAAATTTTGGAAGCAATTAGCATGGTGGAGTTCCAAAAGGTCATGGTTCCATTGTTCTGGCGGATTGGATGCTGCATTAATAGTTTCCACTTCCAGGTACTTACCATCATTTGCCTTGTACTTATTTAAGTTTTGGCATGGTTTGTTGGTTCTTTTCCTGTGATATAATGCTTTAAAATGTCATAATCTGTAAGAACTAAACTAGAACTCATAAAGTGTAGACTAATGCTAAGCTTCCTAAGATGTCTTCTGCTCTGTCATTGATTACTATTTGTTATGTTTGTTTATGTTAAATTCGGTTGGAGCCATTGCCTGGGTCCATATTATAGTGTATATGTGCATTGTTGTTATGCTTAGATTAGCATGAGATGCTGCATGTCATTTGCACTTTATCATGTTTTTTTGAGAGTTGGGAGCCCTATGGATATAGCACTTGGGATTCGCTGCTCTAGATGGTGGTTTTGGTATTTTTTTTTCACCCCACTCCCTTTCATTTATTTTAAACAGCCGACATGTATCATATTACATAAATGATAGACTCCAACTCAGTAGAAGGGGATGTAATCCTACTTGGTGAGCATTTTCTTGATGTTCAAATACTAATTCAATTTGTGTCTGATATGGCACTAAGTTTTATATGAGTGAATCCTAGTTTTGGATTCGTTAGAATTGGGTTTGTGGTCAGCGTGACAGTTATATGACCATAAGCTTTCCACGCCCCAGGGTTTCTTGGGACTCTATAGGGAGATGAGACAGTATCTCGAGGTGATGATATTAGCACATCTATTTATAATAGCACTCATTTTCTCACTCCATCTCTTTCTATCTCTCTCTTTGAAAGTGGAGTGCTATTATAAAGAGATGGAGTGCTGATTTCATCTCCATTTCAGGTCTTCATTGTCATTCACTTCAAAAGAAATCACATATACTGCAAGTTTGAATACCTTGTGAATAGAAATTTTCTTCAAATGCAAGCTTGGACAATGCTATGTGTGGGAGCAAAGTAGGACAGGAAAGAAAGTCAGGGGATACACGACAAAAGGAAGAAAGTTGTATTTTCTTTCTCTTGTTTCTATGAAGTGAAAATAAGAGGGAAATAAAATGGAACGAAAGTAACTTTCCCTTGTTTGGAAAGCAAAGAAACAAGATGAAAAAAATATTGTGTATGGTAAAATTACAATTACCTTTATTGTATTAAATGCTACTGGCAATTTTAAATCAAGGTTGAAAAAGTAATTTACTTTTCAAACTTTCTTCATTTTGAGAAGAACATGTTTCGTGAGCCAGGGGAGGGGGGGGGGTTTCTCCTCACTTCCGTTTGTTTTCTCATCCCTAAACAAGGGAAAATACCTTCCCCTCATTTTCTTTTTTCTTGGGGTTTGAGAGTAAAGAAATGGCGAGGAAAGAAAGTCTCACTCTTTTGTTTGGGAGATGGAAGCAGATGGAGAGTGTAAAACCGAGAGAAAAGATTTCCTTTCGGCCCATAAAACCCATGCTCCCCAATTTAGGGAGAGAATGATTGAGAAATTTTGTTCAAGGGAATTAAATTGACAAATTTAATCTTGATTTTAAAATCAAGACTTTTATCTCATGAAAAATTAAAGGACAATACAGCAATTCACTTCCAACATTTTCCTTTCCTTTCTGTTCATTTCTTCAAAGGAAAATAACTTTTCCTTTATTTTCATCCCTCCCATTTTCTACTTCAAAGTCTAGGAAGAACAATCTTTTTCTCTCTCCTCTTTTTCTTCGAACTACCCCAAACAAAGCACAAGTGTTTTGATTCCATGATAATAGACCTTTTCATTTTGGTATAACACTCATTTTTCTTGTTACTTTGATTGGTCACATATAACTATTTAACATACATTATAAGACTGGTGGCTGGCTTCTTTGATACTTTAAAACTTCCACTCAACGCTTACTTTAGAACTCTAGACTTCTGGGAAGAATTACAAACGTGCAGCCTCGTCCAATAGGATTTTTTGTCTTCTGTTAGGAGGATTTTCTGGTGCTGTTTAAGATGGAATTGAATGGGCGGGAGGATCCAGCTATTTTGGAGGAAGTTTATTTGGCAAAGGTCAGGGAGGGGGACAAGGGTTCATTTTTTAGCTAGACAAGAGTGGTTATCTTCAAATTTATAGTCTAATTTATACCTATTAAACATAAAAATGTCCTTATATTAGGCATTTGTTGGCAAAAGGCCCAGAGTCATGTGGCTTTTTGCAACATCTCAGATGGATGGAATTTATACATAGGTTATGGAGATATCTCCTTTCTTATCCTCGCTATGTACTTTGGTTGGGGAATGTGGCTTCAGAAGTGGAAATATCCGATTATGAGGATCTAGTTTATTTTGCAGGAGGCCAGAGAACTAGTACTTTTACTGTCTCTCTTTGATTGTTTCCGACAGCCGAGTGGCCCCCTTTTAACATTTGTAATGCAATACGAAATTTGTAGTTAGACTCTTCCTTTTCTTCAAAGCAGAGCATAACTTCGATAATTGCTAATCTTGTTGTCAATCTCCCCCCAAATCCTTCTCAGTTAGACTCTTTCTGATGGTTTATTTCGGTGCTTTTATGCTGTCACAGAACAGTCTTATAATGGCCTTTCAAGTTTGCAAACTTGTACCTAACTTTGAGCTATGGATACAACCTCTTGAGCTATGATCAGTAGCTGTGCTGGAACAAATTCGTAGTTTTATTATCTTCACCGTTTGTTTTGTTTCAGGTGGCTGAAAGAGCCCTCTTCTTATGGAACAATGACCAAATTGTCAACTTGATTGCTCATAATAGGCTTGTGATTCTGCCTATCATATTTCCGGCATTAGAGAAGAATGCTCACAGCCATTGGAACCCAGGGGTGCTCAATTTAACACAAAACGTCAGAAAGATGTTCTCTGAGATGGATGATGCCTTGTACTTGGCCTGCCTTGATCAATTCAAGGAGGATGAAGAAAAGCTAAGCTTATTGGCTGAGCAGCGGAAGGAAGCGTGGCGGCGGCTGGAGTATGCAGCCAGTCTCAAGCCAGTAACCGGAAACACTGCCGTTTTGGTAACTCCTTTGGCAACTTCAATTGCCTGTTAAATGTGACTTTTAGACTGATGTTATCCTGGGTTATTGTTCTTTTCTTTCTCTCTGATATTGAGGTGGTTGGAAAGCCAGGAAAAGAAAATGTATGGAAGTTGCTGTTGTAGTAGTTTGGGTTGTAGGATTCTTTTTTGGATAGTCCTGTGACAGCCAGTTATTGTAACTTGTGTTGATCCTGTATTTCCTGTTGCTACTGTATGGAATATTAATTGCTTCCTTGGTAAGGTTATGAAGGAATGACCATGCAGTGGATTGTACAATTTTCTGTCGGCTAATTTACTTAACCATCTCGTCCTGCTCACCCCCCCCCCCCCCCCCCCCAAAAAAAAAAAAAAAAAAAAAACTTGGTGTATAATCTTTCAGCACATTGAACAACCGAATTTTCAAAGAAAAAGATTAAAGTTGAAACTGGATATGGCATTCTTAGATTGACTTGTTCTAAAATGCTCCTAGTGCTTGCGAAAAGCGAAAAATAGTTACTGCCCTGCAATGCTGCTTCAATCGGTAAAATACTTGGAAGGAAGTTTTTCATTTCGCATCCAAATCCATTTGCACTTGAACTACAAATGCTTGAAACTATGATCCACACAGCATTCTACTGAACATTAAATGACAATGATGAAAGGTTAAAACACGAACAACGCATCGTCTATTTCAGATAAATCAACTGTACAATTTCTGGCTAAGGTTTTCCATCAGTTTCAGATCTGCTTCCCATTCACTTAAATCAGTGACCATAAGCAGTTTTTTTTTTTGTTCAGGACGGGACACAACGCTTTGTTCTTAGCCAAAAAAGAGAGAATAAAGCATTTATAATCATCAATGGTTGAACATATAAATACAGAGTACATGGCATAAAAAATGCTTCCAGTTAAAGCTCCTGCTGCACCATTTTCAAGCTTCTTTGCAATAACCTAGTAGTTAAGCAAGTAAACAACCAATGACCTTGCATTAGGTCTTCATTGTTACATCTACTAAGGTGCCACTGTCGTAGAACATAACGGTATTAGTGTTCGAAAGGACAGGACAACTTCAAAAGTTCAAAGTTCAATGATCAATATACAAATACACAATTCCTGTCCAGAATCGGCGTTTTCCTTAAAATTTACCATGACTTAGATCAAGAATAACATACTACAATCTGCAAAAACAATACTCCAATCAGAAAATTTCATTATTTCTTTTTTTCTTTTTGTATGATTCACAAGGTTTAAATACAAAGGTAATGCCGAAATAACTACATTTCTCATTGCTAAATTAGCAACCTACTAATACAATAACCTACCCACGGTTAAAACTTCTTATAGACTAGGAAGTTCTGAAATTATTCCACTGAAGGCATATAAATTACCTCCTTGAGTGTTACACTACCGACCACTGATTATATTGACTTTGGTCTGGAAGCACCAGAACAAGATTAGATGTTACAACAATGATAGACACAGGTTAAAAGAACGAAAAATGCGATCTTTTGATTCAATTAAATTCTATGATTATAATCAATATCACCCGCAAAGTGCCGAATCATAGTGCTTTGCTTGTTAACGCAACACCAGTTTTTCTTTGTCTTCAGAAAAGTGACGAAACTCGTTGTATGGAGGTCAAAGTTGCTACAGATTTGAACTGCCACAATGATAAGCATTTGTGAGAAAGACATAAACTGGAAATGTGAAACTTGAGATCGAGTATGCAGTCTAAGAATCATTAAAACTGCCACTGTTCCAGACAGAGAACTATAAGCTGGTCTTTTGAAGCTCACAAAAGCTGATAGTTTGATTTGATTCAAATGCTGATGAGAATTCCAAACCCTTGTCCTAAACAATAATTAGCAATTGAAAGGACAAGCAACTATATTTCTGAGGTATTCTTATGTGCATTAGACAGCATGATCATACTATTAGCTAAAACAGACTGAAAAAAATAGTATATTTTCTTTACCTTCTGTTGTCTATATTTGTCACGTATAGCATTTAGGCAACAACCATTAGTGTTCAGTTGCAAATCTTCCAGAGCAAGCACTGTAGTTTTCAGTTCTGATGCTGTGTAACTAGTGTAGTGCTCTAGCGTTGTGTTCTGAAATAAGTACCAGAAGCATCCTCTTCAGACATTTCTTTAATGAATGAAAAGAAAAAAATAATAATAATAAATAAATACTAAAATCAAACTAAAAGGGGCAGAAAAGGGCAGACCCATGGGTGTTCTGACTGGTTGAGTGTCCATTGGGCAAGAAAAACAGCAGAGGCAGCAATGAGGGAAGGTAAGAACTTCAGGAAGTTGTACTCAACAAGAGTCAACTCTGCTAAATAATTTGCCAAGAACTCCAGTTCGACACAAGGAACCTATATCAGAGTAATTACAGGTCTCTGATCAGATATGTTCCTGCCCAGTTAAATTCCAAGAAAATATGTCATGTACAATGGCCAGCATTTTAAAATACCTTGCAAGAAGCTCGTGCTGCTTGAATGAATCTCCTGAAATACAAAAATTGGACTATAAAATGAGTAACTTCACTATTGATGGCATCATACCAGCAACATATAGATTAAAAGATGCTCGTAGATTAAAAGATGCTCAGTGTTACACCTCAGAAACGTTTTCGTGGTGGGAACTGATAACTGAAAGTACAAGAAATTCAGGATTTGACTCTCCATTTTCAGAACCTGCCATAATATTTTGTTAGAAGCCTTGTATATCAGCACACACAACTGAAATTCTATTTCAAAGGAGGAATCTTGCATAGTTTATAGAATGCAGCACAAACCTACATGCTAAGTAAAGCCTCTGAAATTAGAGTGGATACACAAATTAGCTGATAGAAAGACCTCAAATGACACCACTTGCACGACACAAGCAATGGTTTATTTTGTGGCAAGTGCTTTTGGAAGCAATCATTGATGGCGTACAGAGAGATATGAAGAATTCAAGTTAAGATAAACAAAAATTCCCAGGTATATGAAAAGTTTTAAGGTAATAAAATAATAGAGAGAAGGTCGACAAGTATGTTGGCTGGGTTAATAAAATTGAGAAGTGAATGGAGCGTAAAAATATGCAGCCCAATACGCCTAAGCTGCCGGGATTTGCAGGAGCATACCTCTCCTCTTGTGTAAGTATTGTCAGTGATGAAGCAAAACTCTTCCGCTCTTGGTGCAATAATTTCTTCATACTTACTGCCATCATAAATGAAAAGTGCATAATGGAATCAATGACTCAAGTGGAAAAATACACATGACATGCAATTCCATTCATACTTGAAATGCATTCAGCTGTTTCTAATACATAAACCTTGGTTTGTATTCTGTGTTAAGAAACATTAATGATAATGAAACAAAAACAAATAACATTCCTTTCTTACAATGTGCCCATGTGCTCATATGAATAAAGAGAGATGTATAGCATATATAATGCATCAAACATTGCATCATGTAGTAGCAAAGTAAGGTTGCATCAAATGTTTGCAAGAATTAAATCAAAACCATAATGAATTATGTGCAATAATATGTGAATTAAGTTGTTTAAACTTCAATCCATCATCATTTTTGCAATCATAATGACTTGTTCTACTCATAATTTGAGTCCAACACTTGTAGAAAAGCACCATATCCCATCTAAATGCCAAACAAACAACAAACTTACGAGGCAATTAACATGCATGTAACACCAAGTAGTTGGAGTCTTTGTTTTTCAATATAGTTGTGTGAGAGGAATCGATCAATGAGATTGACAGTGAGGTAAAGTGTATCTGGAACCAACGTATATTCTTCAGAAACCTGAAAGAGGTCATATAGATTATCAATCTTATAACCATTCAACATTTGATATTAATAAAAAGAACCTAAATGTTAAGTATTGAGGCATTCTTAAAAAGTCCAGCAACTGGGATATTAAAGTTTCAACTTTTGGTCAATTCAAGATCAGGATTCTGTTTATGTTTAAAAGCAGAACAAATCAACTTTTCATCATTATTTAGGAGCTCTATGTCCAACAACATACAAAAACAAGTACACATTGCTTAAAAATATGGAAGCCAAGAAACACTTGAAGTGTTCATACCCAAACAAAATCTTAAATGAGAAAATTTTGGGTGTTCTCCCACAATAAGCCCATATCTCCTATTCAAATTTATAGTCCTTGGTCCTATATAATTTTACCTTAGGAAAAAGAACATCAAGTTAGGAAACAACCAAAGGCGCAGAGATGGAAAACATGGAAAAGGAATAAGAGTAAAGGCTCAAACATTTTGTTTTGATTTATGATTGCTGCATGAGCGATGAACTACATCGAAACTTGAAATAATGAGTGAAAATGCAAGTAACTGGCTGATCTTCTTGGCAAAGATGAAGATCTTCTCTATTACTTGAAAGAAAAATGTTAAGGCAAAGTGAGACCATCCAAATTTACAAAGTTATAAAAAGCATCAATTTTGGTAGAGAAGAATAATTGGAATTTAGTATAGTTTCTTTCCAGGAACAGAGGCAATTCTTTTCAATATCTTTTGGCAAGTAAATATGTTGCGCTTGTTCCAGAGCATATGCCTGAGACAGCTCTCGGCATTATGTCTATATAACAGAATATACTAACCTCCACAAGCCAGTCAATCAGAATTCCTCGCATGCTTGGACTAATATCGCGCTGCAACTTCTCCATGTAATCAGTTGAAGGTCTGTGGTCAAGCTATGATACAAGAAATATCAAAAAGTCAGTACCAAATATAGTGATAATACCCAAGGAACACACAAGTTACTAATCCTGCCTTTCTTAGGCCCCAGCTTCAGTTATTTCTTATTTCAAAACTCAATTAATGAAACTGTTGTTTTTTGCCTAGTACTTCTAGAAAGAGAAAGAAAGACCTTCATGTCGCCTTAATACCAAAATAGGGAACACCAGCATTGGATAGTAGTTTTTGCAAGAATCCTACTATGTCAAACCATCCCAAGTTGAAGTCAGCAGTAATGATAACTTTCATTCATGAAGAGAACAGCTTCAGTTTCACATTAAGATTGATCGAATAACAACAATGTATGTGATTTGAGATGGCAGTTTCTGGATACAAAAGTTGATGATAAATGACTGCAAAAGGCACTAGAGGTAACAGCTGCAGCACAAACCTCCTTAACACGTATATTGTTATATATATCAGGGGCATACAAGCTGCAGAGCTGAGGATCTTTTATGTTTGAATCAATATCTGCTATTTTCGCACAACTTGATGCATCCAATTTTTTCGAAATCTCGTTTGCTTCTGCACAAATTCAACTAAAAATGTTTAACCATTGGCATTCTACTAACTATTAGAACAGCAATGTCCAAAAAATGAAAAGCTCTTCATGATTAACAGGTGGTTTTCTTTATGAAAATTCAAGTGTTTAATCACCTTTAAACATCAACAATTGCATCTGACAAATAAATTCAGCTCCATACTAATAAATGAAAATGCTCAATTCCCTATTTGATAATTAAACCATAAATGATGTCATAGAACTGGTTGCAATTGATAGTAATGATTGAGGACAATGGTTATACCCAAATTATAATACAACACTGACCTTTCTTTAGAGGGCTTTCAACTCCTGAAAATTTTGTGGAAACTGGAATTAGAAGCATTGGATCTGCTACACCACCTTCTCTTGTGTCATGACACACACTTTCTTGTTTTACTTCTAGCTTTGCTGGTGAAGTAAAATCTTGTGCTTCTCCCATTCTTATTTTTGACAGCTCTTCAGCTAACTTTTCCTTTGCATCCTCCCGAACTGGTGAAATTTCCATAGAGATATGAGCAGCCACCTCTGTATTCGTCTTTGGAGGACATTTTCTACCTTGTTTGCTAGTCTGTCAACCAGCCATGTAACAGACAACAGTCTCTCATTTAGTGAGTTTCAAAAAAAATTGCAACTAGTGAATAACTACTGATAATTGTAGATAAAAGTAAATCCCCTTGACAAATGTCAATATAAAGTAATTTATGCTATAATTACAAATTTTGAAAACTGGAAGAAAATTGCATACATGTTGTTTAGTTGCATTGATGTAGTTCAGATGAGGATTCTCACAAAAGATGTTGCTCACATCTCCGAGCACTGCCCTTCTCTTATGCTTAAAGTCAGCAATTGAGGTCAAAGCAGATTTGTTCTCATCTGATGCTGCTCTTTTGGTCTTTGATCTAAGAAGATGCTTCTGATCCTGTTTGAAGGAGGGTTTTGAGGCAGGAAATATACCTACCGAAGTCCCCAAGGCTTTAGCACGTGCCCGTGTAATTCGAGTAGCAGGCTCTTCAAGTTTGGCAGCAGTTGCATTTTCTTTATTCATCTTTGCTTGCCTAGTGGAAGAGCAATGCGTGATTTTAAACTGAAATGCTAATCATTGAACCTGAAATTCCAATGCCAGCTTAAGGTCAATTATCAGGAAAAACAAGCAAATTCCAACGCAGGTAAAAATATAAAAGTGAGCACAGTGATCAACATAACATCAATGTTGCCATAATGCTGCAAGGTCATATATTAAGTTGAACAAAAGTATTCATAGCAAAAGGCACTGAATTTCATAGCCAATTCTAAAATCTTTTTTCTCGAAAAGCTAAGCTTCAACATCACAAAAAAATCAAGGATAACACCCTAGAATATGCAAAGGAATGTAACATGAACAGTTTAACACTACCATTATCTGAGAAATTACGGAAAAACTTGCCGAATTTGTATATGCTCGTGTTCACAGAACAGGACCACTTGCAAAGCACTTTCAGCACAACGGGTTTATTAAAATAATCCAAAAGACATCAAACGTGGAACAAATTCATGCGAATTTTGAGATTATACAGCTTGCATATTCAGGCTTAGGTGCATTTTCCCCAGGAAACAGTACTGTTTCAAACCTATTAGTACAACCAGCAAACAGTTTCGTTTCAAGTTGACAAAAGCTCTTGTACAGAATTATGTACTTCTAAAAGTCAATATGTGGTCAACCGAAAAAAAATTCCCCCATTGCTTCTAGTTAATGAAAAAGGAACTGGCCCAGACCTAATTTCAGGCATCTAAACTAAACCAAAAGGCTGTTTCAAGTTGCACTCTCTCCTTTATTTCCTTTGTCCAAAAGTTCACATTGTTGTGATAAAGAAATCCATGTATCCGCACTGTTACCCTTTGAAAAGTTCCGCACCCATACATTAATATACGGGTAAAATCCATCAGAATTCTATATGTGTAAACTCATACTCAAAACTTAGATTAATGTTATTCATCTCGAACTATCCATTCCAACTTAGTTTTCCGAATAACATCATTGCTGGGTTGGATTCGACTTGTAGGTCCTCCAAGACACCGACCATAAAGTGACTGATGTTATTCCAAAAACTAGCACGAAATAAATACTTTGGCACGAACAGCATTATCCTAGAGCTCATCGAGTAAGTGAATTCGACCTGGTAAATTTTTTTAACATTATCTCCTAAAAGTTACCTTTCACTATTTCATGAACGAAACAATTAAAAACATTTGCTACAGTATTAACCTCCATTAGGTAGCTGTGAAAACCGAATAAAGATTTTCTTATTTATACATTTTTGCATTAACTTGACAAGACACATTTAAAAATTTTGAGCTAAGATCTAATGTTTATTAAAAGGTTTTAGCATTAACAACACAGAAGGCAGATAATAAAACTAAATTAAGTAGAAAAAGGAAAAAAAAACAAAAAAACAAATCCTATCAAAATACTAATCCATTTCAGCATCAAATGCTTCAAAACTCAGATTATAACAAAAAAAAAACACAAATGCTTCAAATCATCTTCTCTAAACACAAATTCCTCAATAAACTCGCTCAAAAATACAAACGGACGACAAAAAAACGGCAATGCGCTTCAAAAACTCAAAACAGAAATTGTTACGACGCTGAATAAGGAAAACGAAACACAAAAAAGCAAAAATGTTTGAAATTAGAGCCTGCTTCACAGATCTGCAGAGACAAACACGAAACGCCTTGTCGTTTCGGAGAAACAAAAACTGTAGCTCTTATCGATCCAACAGCAACGTGTCAATCACTGATGGTGCATAGAGCTCAAAAAATAAAATTAAAAAGGAAAAGAAAAAAAACAGAGAGAGAGGAGAAGGAGAAGCGAGCTTACTGTCTGCCTGGGAGCTCCAAGAAGACCTAACAGTGATGGTCTCTAGAGAGCTCTCTCTTTAAAGAAAGAAAGAGACTGACAGAAACGGAGAGAGAGAAATCGAGAGAGAGCGCTTTTGTTTTTAAAGAGAGTGAGGTTTTGTGTGTGTGTGTGTGTGCGCGTGTTTGTTTGTTGATGATATAATAAGGAGAGAGTGATAGCTGCGTGAGCGGGACGGTGTCACAGTTTAAACTCCCCCAAAAACATTGTTATTTCCACCCCTTTTTTGCTATTTCCATACCACTTTGTTTTTTTCTTTTTTCCCTCTTGAGGTTGCAAATTCCCATGTGACTGCGATGTGTAAGAAAGATGGATTTGGAATTGAAGAGAAGATAGAGAGTCAACAAACTTTTTGGATCTGTAAGGGTAATGGGTGTAATACTTTAAGATTTTTTTTTTTTTTTTTTTTGAAGTTATTAGACTGGTAAATAATAGTAACAATAGTAAGTAGATTGGTTTGAATTGGTAAAAAGAAAGGAAATCTTGATTTGTTATGATTTATTTATAAAGAGAGAAGAGTAATTTTATTTTGTACTCTTGTTATCATATCTTGGCATGCCATGAAAAAGATCATCATGAATTGAATTGTGGTTTTTTACGGTTGGATGGATGGATGAAATGCGTACTGCAAGATTTAGACCTAATTATGTGGTCATTTGAATCTTAATGAGGATTAATATCCTTCTATTAATCCACTGTTACTTCCCCACGACTAAAAAAATAGAAATGAAAATTAAATAAATTCTGTACTTAAATGTCATTTTGTGTACAATCTTAACTTATAATTCGAATTCAATTAATTTAAATGTTATTTTACATAATTTGTTTAGTAAAAAATATCAACCATCAGATTTATAAAAAAGATATTTTTTCCATAAAAAAATTATATAAAAATAATATTATACGAATGGAAATAGATGAATCGGGGTGGAATAACATTTTTCTCAAACGGAAATGAAAAAAAAAAACAGATGGTATTTTATTTTCTTAAAATTACTGTATTTGACACCTTGGAAAAGGTGCTTCTTTTATGGTAATTTATTTATTTTATTTTTAGAATTACTGATTACGATTTTTTTACATGATGATTATCGTTTTTAGTATGCAAGGAAAGTGAGTGTCAAGATTTCAATGCTAAATATAAGGAAAACGTGGCAAAAATGCAAGTAAAATTAAAGCTGTACTTAACCAAATTTGGTTATAAGGAAAATTAAATGAAATAAATAAAAAGTAAAAAGGGAAGCTTCCTGTTAGATTCCAGTGATTTATTTTGAATTAATAGCGGATTTAAAAAAAATGATTATTAATTATGCATGTGTTCATCACTACTAATTTAAGTTGACTTGTAAATAACATAAGTGCGGTCCATAATTAACTCATACAGTCAATTTTACAATCTTCAAAGCTTAACATTTTTATTTTGTAATGCGATGTGGCAATCCTGTGATAGTATATTTTGTATTTCAAAAAAGGACACTAAATTATCAAAATTATTAATCAGTATAAGTTTTGATTTGGTATCGTTACTGTCCTTAATAAATAAAAGTTTCAGCTGGAAGGTTTAAACTTAATTAATAATGAAAATTAATTTTCTCTGACTGCTAATTAAAGCCATGCAACAATAAGCAAATTTTTCTAAAACGTTTTAATCCCTGAGCTTGCAATTAGAGTCAAATAGGTTCTATAACTTAAGCTCTTTTTTAAAAATCTTAATTCCTCAAACTAATTTTTGTCGACTTCAAGGGCAAAATTGAATTTTTAATGAAATGATAAGAGAATAAAATATTTTCATTATGAACAGGGCTGAATAAGTAAAAAAAACAAACCGAATTGAAATATCAATTTGATTTCGTTTTTAACTCAAAAATGAATATAAAAAATCGAACTGATTTTATTTTGGTTCGTTTTTCACTAAAAACTAATTTTTTTTAAAAAAAATTTGAAATTTGAATTGCTATTTTATTTTTTATAGTTGGATTTATAATAAATTTGAACAATCAATAATTTTTTATCATTATGAGTTTTTAATATGAATTAGTGGACTTGTATTTGAATTTTGATACTTTATTATGGGATATGATTTTGTGTTTTAGTTTTATTTAAATAAATATTTATTATCTTTCATATAGGCTAATTTAGACCATTTGAACTACAAAAAAATACTTCATATTCCATAACATATTTATTTATTTATTTTGTGTATTATGTTATTTTTAAAAAAATTTAAAAAATTGAATTTTTGTTTTTAAAAATTGGTTTTCGTCGAAAATAAAAAATTATATATTTAAACTGAAAAACCGAATTCTATTCAGCATTTTTTTTTTAATCAAAAACCAACTGAAATGTGAAAGACCAAATGATCACCTCTAACTACAAGCAAAAGGGTAGTTTTTTTTTCCTTTTGGTGATAAGAGATAATTAATTTATGCATCACTTTAGATTAATTCAATTAGAAAGATAGTGTTGCAAACTGTTTTTGTTCAACAATAAAAATATTTTTGGATCAACTTTCGTAACTTTCGTATATTTTAAGATTAATTTTTTTCTAGACGTTGATAAATAACACTCTCTAAAATTGTTTTGTGTAAGGACAAAAGACAGTAAAAAAGAAAGAATTGAGAAGTAAATTGGTTTTAATCGTATCATAATCTCTAACCGTGCTCATTTGCACCATAATACGTGTGTTTATAGGAGCATTGATGCACATATTTATTACCTTCCGTGTTAGACAACGGTGCAACTTGGTAGTTGTAATTTAGCTGTGATTGTATTTATGGCTATAATGGCAGGTGCAAGGAAAAAAATAACAATTAAGATAAGAGAGTTTGTCTTTCCTCCCCCTTTGATAGTTTTTGAGACATCGGATGATATGGGGGGAAAAAAATCTAGAAAAGAGATTCTAAAATAATTATACACATAGGAAGCGTTTGGTTGTCGTTTTATTTCTAAAATAGATTTTTTATAAAAATAGATACTTTAGTTTTGTAGAAAATATTATTTATTTATTTCTTGTTAAATTTTTTATTGAAATATTGATCAATATAAAATATTTTACAGTCAATTTTTAAATTTAACTTATTTGGAAAAAATATTTTCAACTTATAATGTTCTCTAAAATATTTTACGAATAATAATTTAATATCATCCAA